TGAAATATATCTGTATTATTTATTAAAATAGAGAAAACCGTATCTCTATTAATTATAATTTTTTTCTTTTTTTGAGATGGAGTCTCAACTTTGTCACCTAGGCTGGAGTGCAGTGGCTCAATCTTGGCTCACTGCATCTCCACCTCCTGCATTCAAGCGACTCTCCTGCCACAGCCTCCCAAATAGCTGGAGTTACAGGCGCAGGCCACCAACCCCAGCTAATTTTTATTTTTAGTAGAGACCTGGGTGGTCTCAAACTCTTGATCTCAGGTGATTCATCTACCTCGACCACCCAAAGTGCTTGGATTAGAGGCGTGAGCCCCCGTCCGGGCCATATCTCTGTTATATCTTAAAACTCCATGTGATTCTATGGTTATCTTTTTTTAAAAAAACTTCAGGATTGGAAAAAGAACATAGGAAATTACTAATCAAGAAAAGTTGAAGGAACCAATCCAGGTAACTGGAAAACCGTGTATTGAGTAGGTACTATAAAGTGAAATAAAAAGAACTGTATAGAAATACTAACCTCTGCAATTCTAGTTCCACATATTACCAATTTTGGAAATACTTTAGATGTTTATTAGGGGTGAACAAATGTAGTATAGATAATAACAGCTAAGATTATAATTTTATAAAGATAAATTATAAGTAAGGGAAGGTAGATGCCTTAGTGAACACTGTGGTATTCCACTGTAATCATGTTTATTTTAAACTATGTATATGGTGTGATATGTATGTATGCTTCTGTCGGGTTTTTTTTGGTGATGATCATAGTGTTTTGTTTTTGTGTTTTTCTCTTTGACAGAGTCTTGCTCTGAAGCTCAGGCTGGAGTGCAGTCCCACAATCTTAGCTCACTGCAACCTCTGCCTCACAGGTTCAGGAGATTCTTCTGCCTCGGTCTTCCGGGTAGCTGGGATCACTGGCACCCATCACCATGCCCAGCCAATTTTATTTGTTATTCTTAGTAGAGATACGGTTTCACATTGTTGGCCAGTTGGTCTCAAACATCTGACATGAAGTGATCTGCCACCCTCAGCCCCACAAAGTTCTGTGATTACAGGTGTGAGCCACTGTGCCAGCATGTATTTATATTTCTTTTTTTTTTTTTAGGCAGAGTCTTGCTCTTTAACCAGACTGAAGTGCAGTACCACAGTCTTGGCTCACTGTCACCTCCGTCTCCTGGATTCAAGCAATTCCCCTACCTCAGCCTCCCGTGTAGCTGGAACTACAGTGTACACCACCACACCTGACTAATTTTGTTGGTATTTTGGTAGAGATGGGGCTTCACCATGGCCAGGATGGTCTTGGTCTCCTGACCTCATGATCCACCATCTCAGCCTCCCAAAGTACTGAGATTATAGGCACGAACCACCATGCCCAGCCACTGGTCTATAAATATGTTTTTAAGTTTAGACATATACATACAAATAGGTGTAACAATATAGATAAGTGTGTGTGAGCATTAATATAGTACATATACATATATTTTCAAATTCTGTTCACTGAGAATATCTGAAAATAATGAACCCAATAACATAGGTGTCTAACAGTTGGTATCTAAAGTTTAGTTTGTATATATCATTTTCTGATTAAAGGAATCAAGACCTGCTTGGAAAGTTGGTTCATTCCCATGCTTGGGCAGAGATGACTATGAGCATATTGGCCTAGATGCAAGACAGTAAGGGAGTTGTCAAAAAAAAAAAAAAAAAAAAAAAAAAGAAAAAAATATCAAGTAGGTAAAGTAGCTAACTGAAAAGCTCACATATCTAATATTGAAACAATTTTACGAAGAACACAATAATAGTATTAGATTATAACACTTAAATATTTATACTGATATAAATAAATAACTGGGTAAGTAAATAAATGAAAGAAATAGCATAACACCATTAGAGCATCGCAGTAATAACTGATACAAGAAAAATTCAAAAATCAGTAGCGAATCATTGAATGGTGAGCACTACATTTTCATGTGGGAATTATCAATTTGTTTGCTGTCTTAAAACTAGGGTAGCAGCTGGGTATGGTGACTTAATGCCTGTAATCCCAGCACTTTAGGAGACTGAGGTGAGTGGATCACGTGAGCCCAGGAGTTTGACATCAGCCTGCCAACATGGTGAAACTTCCATCTCTACCAAGAATATAAAAATGAGCTGGGCATGGTGGTGCACACCTGTAGTCCCAGATAGGGGGCTGAGGCAGGAGAATCACTTAAGCCCAGTAAGTTGAGGCTGCAGTGAGCTGTGATCACATTGCTCTACTCCATCTGGGAAAATAGAGCAAGATCCTGTCTCAAAAAAAAGAAAGTAAAGACAAGAAAAAAAAAAAAAAACTGGGAAGAAAATAGTAAATTAACCTCAAAACCAAAGGAGTTTTTAGAAGTACTAGAAACCAATGAAATTGGAAATAAAAGAATAATAGGGAAAGAAACATGAGTAGTGCGAAAAATGAAAACCAAATAATTTTGCTTATGATCAACATGAAGTAATTTGGACCAAATTAGGTTCTTCTTTGCTGAAACTGTAAGGGTTTATTGTCTTGTGAGGTTTATTGCCGAGTTTAAAATGAGGAAACTGAGGCCTGCGTGAGAGTAATTAGATGCCAATTTATTCGGCTCCCAGGCGAGGCTCTGTGGTCCAGGGGAAAAAGGCCAGAGAAGTCACGCCCAAATCCTCCGGGCATGGGTTTTATAGGGAGTGAAGGCGTTTGCTTGGCTGTGGAGAAACAGGATGTGGACGTGGCAAGCTGCTATAGGTAGGTAGGTAGGCGGGATTTCCAGATGGGGCACTGTGCTATTGGGCAGGTTTTGGCAGGGCTTTCCAAGGGTGGGGTAGGTGCCTAGTGCAGAGGGGATTCCCAAGGGCCGGAGTTGAGTGTAGAGTGCAGAGGGGATTTCCAAGGCGGAGCTAGATGATGGGCATATTCTGGTGACGTAATTTTCAGGCCGGGGGAGGGATGGGCGTCTCTGAGCTCTCGGAGAGGCAAGCAGCCTTACAGAAACAATTTTTTTTTTTTTTTTTTTTTTGAGACGGAGTTTCGCTCTTGTTCCCCAGGCTGCAGTGCAATGGCGCTATCTCAGCTCACCGCAACCTCCGCCTCCTGGGTTCAGGCAATTCTCCTGCCTCAGCCTCCTGAGTAGCTGGGATTACAGGCACGCTCCACCGTGCCCAGCTAATTTTTTGTATTTTGAGTAGAGACGGGGTTTCACCATGTTGACCAGGATGGTCTCGATCCCTTGACCCCGTGATCCACCCGCCTCGGCCTCCCAAAGTGCTGGGATTACAGGCTTGAGTCACCGCGCCCGGCCAGAAACAATTTTTTAAAAATATGCAGATATGGATGGGTGTGGTGGCTCATGCCTGTAATCCCAGCACTTTGGGAAGCCGAGGCGGGTGGATCACGAGGTCAAGAGATTGAGACCATCCGGGTCAACATGGTGAAACCCCGTCTCTACTAAAAATTAAAAAAATTTAAAAATAAAAAAAAATTAGCTGGGCATGGTGGCCCGTGCCTGTAATCCCAGCTACTCAGGAGGCTGAGGCATGAGAATTGCCTGAACCCAGGAGGCGGAGGTTGCGGTGAGCTGAGATAGCGCCATTGCACTGCAGCCTGGGGAACAAGAGCGAAACTCCGTCTCAAAAAAAACAAGCAAACAAACAAAAAAACACAAAATAACAAAGGCACATTCCAGTTCATCAGTATTCTGAAAGGGTGGCCTTATAGTTGAATGAATACTCCAGATGTGGCACTACAGATTTCCCTGTATGGATTAATGAAGCCTAATACATTAACACTTTACCCCTTCATTGGTTACATTGTCTTGTTGATTTGTACCGACTTAATGAAGATCTCCAGGTTTTATTAAAAATCTTATTTGTTCTTTGCTCCTCTCTTTTTAATTTGCAGTCATATTTTTGAATTACCAGATTTTACATTTTTCCTAATTAAATTTAATGTCTTTTAAAAAAATAATAAATAGTAACTTATGTATAGTTTTCTGCAATAATAGAATGGAGGGAAGTATTACATGTATGTGTTTTCCTATATATAATGTTCTAGACAAGGCTACTCTAGATTTATGAAGAACAAATCCGCAGTTTCCAGGAATTAATAGTAGGAAAGTCATTGGCTTACAAAATGTTACTATTAGGAAATTTTGGAAGCTACTTAAGAGATTGTTTGAAATATCAATTGAGGTGGTGGTTACACAGCTGGCTGCAATTTATAAAACTCACGTCCTATGGCTCCAAAAGAATACTTTTTATTGTATGTATTAGTATTTATAATTTATTTCACATTTAAATTGTGAAAGTTCACCACCAAACACTGTACTACCTTAGCAAGTTCAACATATTGCCATATCTTTTGCTAAAATAATATTGCTAAAGGTTGTTGTGAATATATTGTTAGATGTTCTTGATAGCTTCTAACATACCCTGTTTCAGCAGCATTAGTTCTCATTTTGTATAGTCACAGTTGATATTTTTTTAGGATTGGTTGACCTTATTTTTATGCCTATTCTATTAACTGAAAATATGTTTACTCTAGAACAGGGCAAACTTTTCTCTTTTCACTTGGAAAAATCCCTTTGATAAGCAATGGTAACTAAGTAGTAGGATCTTTTCACTATATCACCAAAAATAAACAGAATAAAGTTTTAAGGTAGCATTTATAGCATCCACATAAGCATTAGATTCTCTCTCATGTAAGTGTGATTTTTATTTGAATTCAAAGTGCTTGAATATACTCTGCTTTATAAAGCCAACATTATTCTAAAGCCTGCTATCCAGCTTAGTCACACCAGTTATTTGTAACATTTTGACACTAGTATTATTTTTACTGTAAGCATTTTCATTACCATTTCCTCTGCAGACATAATCTACATTTCTCCTTTCTATGTGGCATAAAATCTCAGTTTATATTTCTGTTATATTTGTTATAAAATATGGTATTCTAGGTATGTATTAATATTATTCATTTTATTTCATTTTTTTCTTAGGCTTTGGGATGAGTCTGTTAATCTCCGTGAACAACATGATGCCTTAGAGTTTTTTAATTCTTTGGTGGATAGTCTAGATGAAGCTTTAAAAGCTTTAGGACATCCAGCGATGCTCAGTAAAGTCCTAGGAGGTTCCTTTGCTGATCAGAAGATCTGCCAAGGCTGCCCACCTAGGTAAGTATTATGTTTTTAATGTATACTTCATGTTAGTTTTTTCTAATAATGTAAATAAAACTTTCATTAGTACTTACATAAAAGCAGAGTGTACCAAATAAATTACATTTGTATGCATTTTGCACTAGTCTGTTTTTTTTTCTTCCTAATAGCATTTGGTTAGTACTTTATTACTTCCTCATTCACTCATGTTTGCTTTATCTAACCCTGTGACTTAAAAATGGCATTTTCCATAAATCTGCAGTTATTGCTTAAATAGACATTTTCTTCTTATGGTCTAACTAGTAATCAGAATATTTAAATGTAACTTAGAAAGATAATTGGCAGGATGAGTTGGTTTCTCTTTCCACATTGTGGTTCAAAAATATTAAGTGGAAGATTTCAGAAATAAACAATTTAGAAGTTTTAAATTGTGCCCCATTTAAAATAGTGTGATCAAATTTGGGGCTGTTCTGCTTTGTCCTGGATGTGATTGACTGTCAAAGATCACACCAGTTATGTTCAAATACTTCTTATCCTACCTAGTAATATTCTAGTAATTCAGATATGCCAAAGAAAAGGTAAAGAACAGTTGCTATTCTATTCCTGTGCTTCATTTATAAATTAAACATAATCAAATTTAAGTATGTACATATAAGAAAAAAACATACTATATATACAGTATAGAGTTCAATGCTACCTGAGTTGTTACCCATCTATCTCCTGGCGGTTTTGAACATATCTTCCCAAGGAAATAACATTTAAGTGACTTTTAAAGTACTATCAATTCTTACTGTTTTTGAGAAATGTTACATATGCTTGCATATCAAACCACTTAGCAAGATTTGACAAGATAGGCAACAGTAAAAATATCTGTAGCATAAAGTATATATTCCAACTAAACTTACTAGTATCCCAAGTCTTTTATATCATAAGGCATTGAGGGTATTTTGTTTTGTCTTGTTTTTTGAGATAGAGTCTCATTCTGTTACCCAGGTTGGAGTTGCAATGGCACAATCTTAGCTCACTGCAGCTACAACCTGCTTAGCTCAAGGAATCCTCTCACCTCAGCCTCCCAAGTAGCTACAACTATAGTCACATGCCACAATACCCAGCTAAATTTTATACTTCTTGTAGAGATGGGGTTTCATCATATTTCCCAGGCTGGTCTCAAACTCCAGGCTCAAACTTTCCTCCTGCCTCAGCCTCCCTAAGTGCTGAGATTACAGGCATGAACAGTATCTCTTAATTATATTATAATTAAATATAAGTTTAAATTACAGTATCTGGCACTATAGGGAAATTTAAATTTATATTTAAATTATAAGGTATAATTTAAATATCTTATAATAAAAAGATACTGCTCACACCTGTAATCTCTTTTAATTATTTTATTCTCTCAGCCATTTTGTCTTCTATAGGGTGATTGCTGATCACAAAGCAACTTGTATAAGTCATTCATAAATGTAATTTTGTTTTTCTGACCATCGTGTTTTTCCTGACTAAATTGAAAGTGTTCAACTGTGAGAAACTCGTCAGGGGTGGTAGCTCACACCTATAATCCCACCACTTTTAGATGCCAACACTGGCAGAACACTTGATGTCAGGAGTTTGAGACCAGGCTGACCAGCATGGTAAAACCCCATCTCTACTAAAAATACAAAATAATTAGCTGGGCCTGGTGGCAGACTCCTGTAATCCTAGCTACTGTGGAGAATCACTTGAACCTCGGAGGCAGAGGTTGCAGTGAACTGAGATCGTACCACTGTACTCTAGACGGGGCAATAGAGTGAGATACTATTTAGACGTTTTCAAAGTAATGATTAGATGAATGGATTTGATAGTTGATGTGTCTGATCCAATTCATTTTTTGAGTTTGTCATCAGAACCTGAAAGTTCCTTTTGCAGAAAATTACCGTAATCCATGATGCTGACTTAATCTTGCATTATTTACTCTCTTCTCCATGTATTTATTTATTTATTTGAGAGAGGATCTCACTATGTTCCCCTGACTGAAATGTAGTGATTATTCGAAAGTGTGATCACAGCACATGACAGCTGCAAACTTCTGGCCTCAAGTGACCCTCCTACCTCAGCCTTTTGAGTAGCTGGCACTACAGGCAAATGCCACACCACATCTGACTGTCTACTTATTTTTATGACTTTGTAGACATCAGAGGCATTTTAGCATGATGAGTGTTTGAACTTAACACAATTAGGAAAGCATCTATGACAGAAATTGAGGGACACTTAAAAATTAATTTCATTAATAGTTTAGAATAGCTTTTTTAGAACTTGATTAATTCTTATTTTACCTTGGCATGAATTACTGTTTAAATAGATAATGTGTGTCATAGGGTAACTGAGCATAAGAACTTAAGAAGTAAAGCCAAGCAAGCTGGTTTTCAAAGCATCACTCCACCTAATAAACTGTATCAAATTAGTCTTTTCAACTTCCCTACACAATCCTATCGTCTTAGCTTTAAAGTAGGGATGAGTGGGTATCTCCAACAGTTTTTATGAAGGTAAAGATGGCTATAATCTGGTGTAAGGTTTCTAATACAGTGCTCAGTACAAAATAAGTGACTGATAAAATATTGATAACCTTGTATGATTAATATACTTGACATGATGTGTTCAATACTGCATATGTACTTTTTATCAAGTTCACAACTAAGGAAAAGATTTACTTATTTATTATTACTATGTTTTTGAAATGAAGTCTTGCCCTGTCTCCCAGGCACTGCAGTGCAGTGGTGCAGTCTTGGCTCACTGTGGCCTCTGCCTCCTGCGTTCAAGTGACTATCCTGCCTCAGCAATTTGAGGCAGGATATATTATATACAACTTGTGTGTGTGTGTGTGTGTGTGTGTGTGTGTGTGTGTGTAATTTCTACATATGTCTGTTCTGTTTTCTTTTGTTTTAGCAGAGATGGGGTGGCCAGAGTGGTCACGGACTCTTGATTTCAGGTGATCTGCCTGCCTCGGCCTCCCAAAGTGCTGGGATTACAGGTATGAGCCACAGCTCCCTGAAGGATAAGATTTAGAAACCAGGCTGGGCATGATGACTCATGCATGTAATGCTAGCACATGTGGAAGACGAGGCAGAAGGAGCTCAAGAATTAACTCCAGGAGTTGAAAACCAGCATAGGCAACATAGCAAGAACCCATCTCTAAAACAAAAAAGAAAGAATTACCTGGGTGTGGTGGCACCCACTTGTAAGCCTAGCTGCTAGGGAGGTTGAGGTGGCAGGATCACTTAAGTGAGCAGTCCCCAACCTTTCAGCACCAGGGACAGTTTTGTGGAAGATAATTTTTTTCACAGACTGGGATCAGGGGATAGTTTTGGGGTGATTCAGGTATCTGCCATTTATTGCTCTTTTTTTCTGTTATTATTACATTACCATATATAATGAAATAATTCTAGAACTCACCATAATGTAGAATCAATGGGAGCACTGAGCGTGTTTTCCTGCAGCTAGCTGGATAGATTATCATGCTTTGGATTCTTATAAGGAGTGTGCAGCCTAGATCACTACCATGTGCAGTTCACAGTAGGGTTCTGTCTCCTATAAGAATTGAATGCTCTCACTGATCTGACAGTTTAGGGTGTTCAGGTGGTAATGCAAGCCATCGGGAGTGGTGTAAATACAGATGAAGCTTTGCCAGCTTGTCCACCAGCCAATGGCTGTTCTGCAACCCAGTTTCTAACAGGACACAGACTAGCACCGGTTGGGACCCCTGGCTTAAGCCCAGGAGTACAAGGCTGCAGGGAGCTATGATTGTCCCACTGCACTCTAGCCTGAGCAAGAACCTATCCCTAAAAGATTAAACTAAAAAAATTAAACGTATAGAGTACATTCTTTTAATTTGTTTTATTTAATAATACCTTTAGGTATGAATGTGAAGAATATTTTACAACTTTGAATGTGGACATTAGAAATCATCAAAATCTTGATTCTTTGGAACAGTATATCAAAGGAGATTTATTGGAAGGTGAAAATGCATATCATTGTGAAAAATGTGTTAAAAAGGTATATTGTTTCACTTTTGAAAAATAATGATTTTATTGAACAGATTAGGAAGACATTGGGGTTGTTTATGCTAATTCTCAAAATTAACTTCTGCCTCATCTCTGCTGTTATAGTGGTAGTAGAGAGGTGGCCAAGATGGTCCCTCATTTAAACCAAAAGCGTATTGACAAAATACAGTTTAAGACTAGGAAAAAAAGCTTTTTATCGGGTGAATAATTTTGAAAGTCACAGAATCTCACAAGTTTCCAGCCCTGCCCTGAAATAAATTGCACCTGAATGCTTCAGTCTCAAAGAGTTGATAGTTGAAAACATTATTCTTTTCTTACTCTAGTTTTCTCTTGAAGTAAGGAAGTTTGTTAATTTTATTTGATTACATTAGATTTTCACAACCACATGTACTTTTAGAAACAGATCTCATTTTCTAGGCCTAGCCAGCTACTTTCATCTCTGGCACTTAGTTTGAGGGATGGAATAGTAACATGCCTTTGAAGACACTATACGTTAAATAATGTATATATTTTCCTTGACTTTGATAACCCCTCACCTTAAAGGTGCCTGCATTGTTTTGAACTTACACAGCATTTAGATTGTGGTTTGTTGATAAAGCCATACTGCCTGCCACCCACACTTCTGATACTGGGACAGTTTCTTCTCCCCATTTCTGTTATACTTAATCTACATGTTTTAAAATAATTATATATAGGTAGTAACTTTTTATAAGATAGTGAGGATTAAATTCATTAATATGTTTGTAGTGCTTTGTGTATTACCTGGCTTTTAAATGATGTAGATATTAGCCACTATTATAATTGCTTATCATATGTCTTCAGTTAACTCACAGCAAATTCTGTTCGTTAGCATAAAAGAAAACATCTGAGGAGTAACACAGTGAAATAATAGTGCCTATGTGGAATGTGGAATCACTTAGCCATCAGTGTCTGTAGGCGTAATGTTCTTCAGTTAGCAAGAAATGAGGGACCTTTCATATGCACACGTTCTGCAACATAGATTCCTATAAACATGTATTAAAAAATATTTGAAAAAAATAGCAATACTCAATAAAAAATTATACAAATTCAAAAGCCATTATAGTGTAATAACCATCTACATAGCATTTACATTGTATTAAGTAGGTTATATAAAATGATAAGTCAAACTATACAGGAGGGTGTCTGGATTATATGTAAATACTGTAACATTTTAAATCAGAAACTTCAGCAGACACAGATGTTGCTATTTATGGGGTTGCTGGAGCCAGTGCCATACAGATACCGAAAGATGAGGATATTTATATATTTTTAGCTTTGGTAAATAAGGATTAAGTCAGTTATACCATAATTATCCTGTTGGAGTTTATTGTTATTTACTCATCTGTTTATAAATGCATTTAAATAGATCATAAACTTTAAAATTAATGTTAATTTGTTCTAGTTTTTGTTCTGGCTACAAAAGAACATCTGTTTATATTCTGTTTATTTTAGGTGGACACAGTAAAGCGCCTGCTAATTAAAAAATTGCCTCTAGTTCTTGCTATCCAACTCAAATGATTTGACTATGACTGGGAAAGAGAATGTGCAATTAAGTTCAATGATTATTTTGAATTTCCTCAAAAGCTGGATATGGGACCTTACACAGTAGCAGGTGTTGAAAAGCTGGAGAACGATAATGTAAACTCAGAAAATCAGTTGATTGAACAGAAAGAGCAGTCGGAAAATTAAACTACAGGAAGCACAAAGTACAGACTGGTAGGTGTGCTTGTACACAGAGGTCAAGCAAGCAGTGGGCATTATGATTCTTACATCATTCAAAGGAATGATAAAGATGATGAGAGAGATCACTGGTATAAATTTGTTGATGGAGATGTAACAGAATGCAAAATGGATGATGATGAAGAAATGAAAAATCAGTGTTTTGGTGGAGAGTATGTGGGAGAAGTATTTGACCACATGATGAAGCGCATATCTTATAGGTGGCAGAAGAGGTGGTGGAATGCTTACATACTCTTTTATGAACAAATGGATATAATAGATGAAGATGATGAGATGATAAGACGTATATCAAAGCTAACTATTGCAAGACCCCATCAAATCATTTTGGCACCAGCTATTGAGAGAAGTGTACGGAAACAAAATGTGCAATTTACGCATAACCAAATGCAGTATAGTTTAGAGTATTTTCAGTTTGTGAAAAAGCTGCTTACATGTAATGGTATTTATTTAAACCTTACTCCAGGTAAGCTTTGGAAGTAGCTTCTTACTAATAAAGGATCATTTTTATTTAGCATCTAGGATATCTTACAAGGCATCAAATGTTTAATCTTTTTCTTCAGTTTTATTTTTTTTTCATAGAATTATTAGTCTCATTTTACATGAATGTGCTGGCCTTTTTGGTTTATTTTAAAATGAAAAATGTAGGGTATCTGTACCTTTGAATAGTGATTCTTAATATGTGGAAGTATAGAAAAGCATTTATTATAGTAATTACTATTTTTTACTATAACATTACTTTTAATATGGATTATGAAGTGGTAAGATAATCACTAAGAATTACTTCTGGCTAACTAAGGTTTTTTAACATAGACTTTGAAGATAAAAATGTTTTTAACTGTATATGTACTTTTTATTTAAAGGGCAGGATTATTTATTGCCCTGAAGCAGAAGAAATTACTATGATTAGTATTCAGCTTGCTGCTAGATTCCTCTTTACCACTGGATTTCACACCAAGAAAATAGTTTGTGGTCCTGCCAGTGACTGGTAAATGGCTTTGGATTTTATTCATACAGTACTTATAGTTGTTTTTTTTTTATTATTATTTTGCTTTATGTTTTTCTAACCATGAAAATATCATTTCAAATACAGAATAATAATCTTGGTTGTAATCATTAGGGAAATCTTACTAAAATTGCCTAATCTAAAAGTGCCTTTAATTATTTAAAAATTGGCTCCTGCTCTTCTGACTTTGTATCACATCTTAGTCTATTTCATCATTAAATTATTAAGCTTTATTTTTATTTTTTATTTTTTTAAATTTTTTATTGCATTTTAGGTTTTGGGGTACATGTGCAGAACATGCAAGACAGTTGCATAAGTACACACATGGCAGTGTGTTTTGCTTCCTTTCTCCCCTTAAGCTTTATTTTTACTAGATGAAATTCTCACTCGTAATTAAAAAGGTAGATTGGCTGGGTGCAGTAGCTAATTCCTATAATCCCAGCACTTTGGGAGGCCAAGATAGGGGGATCATGAGGTCAAGAGTTCAAGATCAGCCTGACCAACATGTTAAAACCCCATCTCTACTAAAAATAAAAAAATAACTGGGCATGATGGCATCTGCGTGTAATCCCAGCTACTCAGGAGGATGCGGCAGGAGGATCACTTGAACCTCAGAGCCAGAGGAAGCAGTGAGACTCTATCTCAAAAAAAAAAAGGCAGATGATTTTTTAGGCCAGGTGTGGTGGCTCATACCTGTAATCCCAGCACTCTGGGAGACCAGAGTGGACAGATCACTTGAGGCCAGGAATTTGAGACCAGCTTGGGCCACATAGTAAAACGTCATCTCTACAAAAAGTTAAATTAACTGGGTGTGGTGACTCACATCTGTAATCCTAGCACTTTAGGAGGCTGAGGTGGATGGACCACTATAGACCTGGAATTTTAGGCTATCGTAGGCAGCAGAGCAAGATCCTATCTCTACCAAAAAATTTTTTTTAAATAATTAGCTAGGCCTATGGCCTGTTTTATGTAAAACCAGCTACTTGGCAGCCTGAGGCAGAAGGATCATTTGCATCCAGGAGTTTGAAGCTGCAGTTAGCTATAATTGTACCACTGCATTTATTCCAGCTTGGGCAATAGAGAGTTTCTCTCTTTAAAAAATAAAAAAATACAATTTAAAAATGGCTGTAGTTTTAAGTTACTATTAAATATGCAGTATATTATAACTTGATTTAACAACTCAGCATTGTTCATGTTGAAAGATGTTAAGAAATGTTTTGGCGCTAGCGAGAGTTTGATCATGGATTTGCAGAGAGTTAACACACGTTTTGAATTTTATTCACTTTTTTGACTCTGTGGGACTAAAGTTACAAAGCTGTGTCAATCTGTTATTTGTACTAAAACCAACTGACCATTAATTGCAGAGTACATCTTAGATTATTGTTTCATTTATAAAAACCTGTAGCAAGCAAAATAAACACATTAGTAAAATTTGACATTCATAGATGTTTCTGTTTTAGGTATGATGTACTATGCATTCTCCTCCGTAACAGCAAGAATGTACGTTTTTGGTTTGCATATAATGTTCTTTTTAATGTATCAAATCGCTTTCTGAATATCTTCTGGAGTGCCCAAGTGCAGAAGTGAGGGTTGCGTTTGCAAAACTTACAGTGTTTATTGTACACTTTTTCTTGCAAGATGGATCTTGCCTTCTCTTTTGCATCTTCAGGACCTAGTCAGGTAATTGCACAGCTTTTTTTTTTTTTTTTTTTTTTTTTTTGGTAATTAAATACTTAGAAGTAAATTCTGTTCTTGGCAGATTCAAATCACCAAATTTATGTGCCTCTCTTTGCTGTATTTGCTGTACACAAATGCAGACACACATTATGACACTTGTAAGTTCTTTAAGTTATTTCATGGTAATAGTGATTGTTGATACTGAAAAAAAAGAGAAATTCCTTTTGTGTATTCAGTTATTTACCGTTATTTAGTAAATCCTTAAGTTTTTACATTTTTTAGATTTACTTTTATAATGGCTAAGTGAAAAGCTTTTTTAGTGAAACACAGTACCATGAAATTAGTGATAATGTAAATAAATAATCCACCTAAATTCTTTTATTGAAGTTTTTGGGGCTTTTTGTTTGTTTGTTTGTTTGTTTGATTGTTTGTTTGTTTGTTTTTTGTAATCACAGCAACATACGAGATCTACAATGAAGTCTACCTGAGCTCTTCATTATCTCTCTCAAAGAGCGCGAGTGTATTTAGTGATTTTCTTTATGAAATATTTGCTGTATATATGATGTCGATAAAATAATATTTCATTTTTCACAGGCATGTGATAACTTGAACTTGAGTGACCACTTACTAAGAGCCACACTAAATCTCTTGAGAAGGGAAATTTTAGGGCATGGGCGTCATTTACAGCAATATTTTAATTTGTTTGTAATGTATGCCAATTTAGTTAAGAACTTTTCATGACTATATTAAGGATTGTTTCTTTTTTAAATATTAAATGAGAAGCACATTTTAATCAAGTGATTATATGTAATTTGTTCTAAAATAGAAGCAGTGTACCATATTCATATTCTTAAAAGACATTGCAGGGCCGGGCGCGGTGGCTCACGCCTGTAATCCCAGCACTTTGGGAGGCCGAGGCGGGTGGATCACGAGGTCAACAGATCGAGACCATCCTGGTCAACACGGTGAAACCCCGTCTCTACTAAAAATACAAAAAATTAGCTGGGCATGGTGGCGCGTGCCTGTAATCCCAGCTACTCAGGAGGCTGAGGCAGGAGAATTGCCTGAACCCAGGAGGCGGAGGTTGCGATGAGCCGAGATCGCGCCATTGCACTCCAGCCTGGGAAACAAGAGTGAAACTCCGCCTCAAAAAAAAAAAAAAAAGACATTGCAGATTTTCTATGTAACTTTAATGGCATTTCTTGTATTATAAGGCAATTTATGCACTTGTTTTATTTCTCTGATAATCTTTAAGATCAGATACTCTGTCTGATAGATATCATCTCTTATTGTTACTTTTTGTAAAATACTGGCTTCATGGTCATATCCCACACCATCTGAATAAGAATTCCCAGGGCTTGCATAAGGAATCCATATTTCTAAAGGATACCAAGTGGTTGTGTTGCTTATCAGGTTTAAGAATTATTTATTTAAAGAACTTACCATGTACATATGTATCTGTTAAGCTAAATTGAAATGAATAATAATGCAAATAATCAATCTTAATCTGTTATTAGTACAAATATCAGTTAACACGTGATTTTCAGTGTATCTTTCTTAGAGTAGCCTGCTTTTCCTCACATTAATCTATTTATTATTTTGATTGTTTCTACAATACTTACCTAAAAAAAATATTTCTGGCTTATTCCATTGTGTTTTGATGGTTTTTAAATATTTACCTAATTCTCAACTAGATAGCAGAATTTTTGTAACAAGAGGGGATTGCATAGTAGTATTTTGTCATTGTTGAATGAATGGATAGATTGCCAGGAATATACATAAAAAAATCATTGTAGTGTTTTCAGTGTTGTTTTATGTTGTTTTTATTGTCTGGAAGAAGAATAAATTATTACAGATGCAGTAATGTGATTTGAATATCAGTAGTGCAGGTGTTAGTATAACAATATTTCAAAATTAGTAATTTATTGATATAGTTAAAATTTATTGACTAGTTAATTTTAGTGATACTGATAAGTATTTGATCACATTTTTATGAACGATTGATTCAGTTAGCAGATATACTCATATCTGTGATGTTTTTGATTTTCAAAAGTTAACTGAATAACTTTTAAATGTCTTACTACATAAAATGAAGTTCTGTAGTCACACATTCCTCTAATGAAGGTGATATCTATATTGTTAATCTTTGACTTCGACAGTAAGAACATTTTACCAGTTATTCTTCCTTCTCTGATCATGTCTGTGTTTTCTAATAGAGTAAGAAGTGGATATTACACAAACATAAATGAACTGTTTATTTTAAATATAAAAGTATTAAATTTACACACAAAAATGCTGTTTTCAACTATTTTATTTTAGATATTTGCTGCTTATACACAACACATTGATAGTGTATAACATAACCTCATGGCAATTTTCCCAGCCAAGAATTGGTATAGATTTATGACTCAAGTGTAAATCAGGGCATTAGGTTTCAGATTTTAGAAGTTTTTGGATTTGAGAAAATTGAAACAATGCATTTGCAACACATTGTGTAACATTCCCAGTAAGACCTCAAGCAATATCCTACAATCAAACATACTAATATTTCTATGATGAATAATAAAAAAATCCCTTTAAGGGTGGAAGAAGGATTTTTTTAAACAGAGTGGATGGTTTGTGCAGACTTGGTACAGACATGACTTGGTGGCTTAGGCACCGTGTTAGGTATTCAGTGTGACTTGCTATGGTGAAGGATACAGAATAGCAGTACTGATTTGCAGGATTCTCTAAGGAGGGGCCGTGGAGGTGGAGGTGGTGGTGGAGATGGGGAGTGTGTCTAGTAGTGGGATGCCTATGTCTAGAATATCTAAAATCATTTGGATACATTTATTACTATAGATGTAGTTACAACAAGCCATGTAAGGAGATGTCCTAGAATGGAAACTTTTTCTAAAATATTTTTTATGGCTCATTTAATTTAGTTTCTGTCTTTCTTATGCCGAGAGTTATTATTTGGCTAGGGCCTTCCAGACTCTTTAGGCCATAGAAAGTTTACATTCTCAAGGCTAATTGGAATGCCATAGTCATGATCATTATTTCGCGGTTAGGCTACCTTATCTTATTTAATTCAGTTAGTGTATTTTCTATTCTGTCTGCATTCTGCCTGTATTGTTTGTATTCTAAACAAAGAGAATGAGCTTTTAATAATATAAGTTACAGAGTGCTATAGTAATTACTCTATTATTATAGTTTTTACTCTCTTAGTTTTTTTTTCCTATTTATTTTTTTTGTCCTTTTTTTTTTTATAGGTGTGCCAGAAAAAACACAGCTTCTGAAATTGAATGTACCTGCTACCTTTAAGCTTGTGTCTTTAGATGAAGGGCCAGGTCCTCCAATCAAATATCAGTATGCTGAATTAGGCAAGTTATATTCAGTAGTGTCTCAGCTGATTCGTTGTTGCAGTGTATCATTAAGAATGCAGTCTTCAATCAATGGTAAAGTAGCATGTTCCACTTTCTTTTTCACAGCAGTTTAAACATAATCTTTTTTCACAGCAGTTTAAAACTAAGCTTTTACAAAGCTTTATGTAACATTTGATTTAAATTAGCTCTGACGATTTATAAAAATGGAACTAGTCTGAAGCTCTGAAAAAGTTTCAGCTTTTTCATATATCTAATGGAGTTCGTTTTTGTTTTTTTAATGCAGGGTTCTGTGCTATCTTTTGAAATTGTTAGTTTAAGAATGTTAAACTTTGTTTTTAGTGTCAACATTTGTATTTTTGCATTTTATCATCTTCGTATAGGTGACCATTTAGGTGAATTTTTAGTTTAATTTAAAGTCAGATTTTATTATTTAAGGTAAGAAATTTACTATTTACTATTATAATTTTGTGAGTAATTCTATTGGTTTATCATTGATAACAAATCTCTTCTAGGTATCCTCCTCTCCCCAATCCTTTCAGGGACCCCAATTTATCACAGCCTATAATGCCAGTTCAGCAGAATGTGGCAGACATTTTATTTGTAAGAACAAGTTATATGAAGAAAATTATTGAAGACTGCAGTAACTCAGAGGATACCATCAACTTGCTTTGCTTTTGCTCTGGAGAGAATCCTCAGTTCTCATCTACTGTCCTCAATGAACTTCTCTGGCAGGTCAAAGAAAAATAAACATTGATGTATCTGTTATCTGTTATTTTATTCATTTTTTAAATGAGTAATTCACTATCTTTGAACTATTTGTAGGTTGCATATTCATATACCTATGAACTTCGGCCGTATTTAGATCTACTTTTGCAGATTTTACTGATTGAGAACTCTTGGCAGACTCACAGTGAATATGCTTTGCCACCAGAAGAATTACAATTTCCAGTATTCTTGATATTACTTGAATTATCAATCACCAAATATATTTTTTATCTTTTGGTGCGCGGCTTAATGTTCTATCTTGAAAAACATATGAAGGAAAAAAGCCACTTATTTGTATTCTGTTCTCTTAATGTTTCACTTTTATGCTTAATATTAGGTTTTGTCCTCCATTTACTGTTTCTATTTATTTTAAAAAAACCAGCAAGACTTTTGATTCCTACTTAAGTTCTATTAATATTTTAAGATTATCATGTACTTTTTCTAGAATTATAGTAGAAAACAGTTATCTAAAAGCAATCCCTCACCTCTAAGTAGTTAGTTTTATATGTATATAAGAAAAAAGGGCCGGGCGTGGTGGGTCAAGCCTGTCATCCCAGCACTTTGGGAGGCCGAGGCAGGTGGATCTTGAGGTCAAGAGATCGAGACCATCCTGGTCAACGTGGTGAAACCCCGTCTCTACTAAAAATACAAAAAATTAGCTGGGCATGGTGGTGCGTGCCTGTAATCCCAGCTACTCAGGGGGCTGAGGCAGGAGAATTGCCTGAACCCAGGAGGCGGAGGTTGCAGTGAGCCAAGATTGCACTCCAGCCTGGGTAACAAGAGCGAAACTCCGGCTCAAAAAAAAAAGAAATGAGTGTAATTTCAAAACTGAGATTATGCTATAACAGGTCTATAAATATACCCCTAGAATTCTCAGTTGTTTTCTCTGCAGTAAAATCAGTATAAGAATTACACTGTAGAATTAGTTGCCTAACTCTGCCTAAAAATTACTTTTTTCCTCATGGGAATTTTAAAATAATAGCTTGTTTTAGGAACATACACACACGTACACACACACACTCATTAGACATTGTAATAAACAGAAGAAAAACCTGAAAACAAATTTATTATAAAGCCGCAGAACACAGTACTAAAAGGCAAAGCATTGTCATCTTCTATTTTAGAGAACTGAAAATATTGGACTTCAACAATTAGAATTATCAAATTGTGATTCAGTTTCCCATCAAGCAGATCAATTAACGTAAAAGTGGCATTAGATCAGTAAAGTTTTAAATTAGATTCTGTTTTGTTTCTTAAAATTTTACTGTTTTAAACAATCTGTAGGTAAATATTGCTATGTGACTTCCATTTATTTATTTATGTATTTCTTTATTTACTTATTTTGGATACACAGTCTTGCTCTGTTGTCAGGCTGGAGTGCAGTGGCGTGATCTCAGCTCACCTGCAACGTCTACTGCACAGGTTCAAGCGATTCCCCTGCCTCAGCCTCCCAAGTAGCTGGGACTACAGTTGTGTACCACCATGCCTGGCTAACTTTTTGTATTTTGGTAGAGACAGGGTTTCAGCATGTTGGCCAGGATGGTCTCGATATCCTGACCTTGTGATCTGACCACTTAAGTCACCCAAAATGCTGAAATTACAGGATGAGCCACTGTGCCCAGGTAACTGTGACTTCTTATATTTGCTCTAAGGCTAATCACATTTTTAGCCTTGTCTCATCCAAGGAAATGATTTATAATAAAGATACACATGCTGGATTAATGTGGACAGTAGTGGACATTTGTGCAAAATTAGTATAGGCCTTATGAACATAAGCTTGACATGTTTTTTTGTAATGGATGTTTAGTTTATTCAGTAGACAGTATTCAACAGATATATATATATAAACATCTACTGGGTGCCAAGAACTGTTATTATCACTTCTTCTGTAAGAGAATACGAAAATGGTATATATATCACAGGTGTTGCAGGAAACCTATCTGTTTTTTTGTGTGAAATTTTTCACATTGAATTTAGATGTCAAAAATTGCTCTTTCCGAACAAAATTTAATTTGCAAATGTGTCTAAAGCAAACAAAAAAAACTGACATTTGCCTTAGGACATAAAAATATTTTGTCAAGTAAGATAGATGGTATGGAGGAAAAACTTTTTAAAGTTATTTTTCTGTCTGGGTAATGACGGAAGAAGGCAATTTTGGGCCGGTGGGAGGCGGGGGGGGTGGAAGCTTTTTTGCCTTTTGAGACAGAGTTTTGCTGTTGTTGCCCAAGCTTGAGTAGGTGATCTCGGCTCACTGCAATCTCCATATCCTGGGTTCAAGGGATCTTCCTGTCTCCTAAGTAGCTGGGATTATATGCATGTGCCACTACACATAATTTTTGCATTTTTAGTAGAGATGGGTTGTCATGATGGTCAGGCTAGTCTTGAACTCCTAACCTCAGTTGATCTACTGGGCTTGGCCTCCCAAAGTGCTGCAGTTACAGGAGTGAGCCACCATGCCTGGTTTGTGTTTGTTATTTTTTAAATTTTCCATTAAGGCGAAGAGGGAATAGTTAGCTGTGTAAATATGCTGCAATTAGGCAATCCTGAAATAAAATAATTGATCATTAGAAAATCAGGCAAATTTTAACATTGTTAGTGGAAATTGCTTTACCCATCATGTACGTGTTTTTACATTATTAGAATTCAAGTTAGTTTTGTACTGCCAATTTATGTCACTGTTCCATAATCACTGGATTCTTGCTTGACCTGCTAAAATGCAGTCTTTGAAAAATGAGTTAAGTCAAAATAAGTTTTTTTCAACTGAAATAGTCTTAAAATACTAGTTAGGTTTAGGAAAAATAATGTGGTTAGCTGGACATGCTGGTATGTTTCTGTAATCTCAACTACTTGGGAGACTGAAGTGAGAGTATTCCTTGAATTTTGGAGTTTGAGGCTGAACTGAGCAATAAACTATGAACATGCCACTGTAGAGCAGTCTAGCCTAGGACAGAGAGCAAGATTCTGTCTCTAAAAGAAAGAAAGAAGACTTAAAAAAAATAATGTGTAGCATCATTGTCCTTTCTTTGCTGTTACTAGTGCATTCAGTGTATATTTAGCGAAAGCATTTTGGATTAGTAATTTGACCAGAACTCAAATCATTGAATCAAATTGCTAACCACTGCTTAACTTGGCTAGATCTGTAATATTTGGCAAGCTGTTTGTGCTCTCTATACTTGTTTTCTCATTTGTTAAAATGTTCCTAATTTTAATTTTTTTTCTACATAGTTAGGAAAGTAATTCAAATATGAATTACATTATATTATTACATAAAAAACTTGTTCTAAATGGCACATATTAGGCACTCAAATGTGAACTACTATTGGATATTACAAATTTTTATATCTGCTCTGATTTAGAATTCATAATGCACTTAAAGGAATTCCAGATGATCGAGATGGGCTGTTTGATACCATACAGCGCTCAGAGAATCATTGTCAAAAAACGAGCATATCAATGCATAAAATGTATGGTAGCTTTATTTAGCAGTTGTCCTGTTGCTTACCAAATCTTGCAGGTGAAGGTTTTCTCTTATAATTTTGTAGAAACCTGTGTCATAATTAAGGAATACTTTAAAAGAAAATAATCATGAAAATTTTGAATTAGCATTTTCAATTGATAATGAAAAGTATTCTAAATTGTTTTACATATATAGTTTTATTTTCTTTTGAAGGGTAATGGAGATCTTAAAAGAAAATGGACCTGGGCAGTGGAATGGCTAGGAGACAAAGTTGAAAGAAAACCATATACTGGAAATCCTCAGTATACTTAAAACAGTTGGTCTCCTCCAGTACAAAGCAATGAAACATCAAATGGTTATTTCTTAGAAAGATCACATAGTGCCAGGATGATACTTGCGAAAGTTTGTGAACTCTGTCCAGAAGAGGTTAAGAAAGAAAGAAAGAGAAAGAAAGAAAGAAAGAAAGAAAGAAAGAAAGAAAGAAAGAAAGAAAGAAAGAAAGAAAAGAAAAGAAAAGAAAAGAAAACAAAAAAAGAAAGAAAGAAAGAAAGAAAAAGCCACCAATGGATACCAGATAGATGTGGGAAAAAGAAATGTAATATTTTAATGTATAAGCCAATGTTTATTAATACTGTTAAAAAAAATCATGCTGCTGTTTTGTTTTCTTTAACGCTTAGCTTGATTGGTTTGCTCTTAACAAAGAAGTTTCCTTTTGGAAAAAACTTACGTGAAGTTGTCTAATAATTACATACCTAAAGAATTCAGAGTTTATTTTGTATGTTTCTTTTTTGTTTTTGTTTTTGGAGATGAAGCCTTGCTCTGTTGGCACAGGCTGGAGTGCAGTGGCACGATCTTCGCTCACTGCTGCCTCCACCTCCTGGATCAAGTGATTTTACTGCCTCAGCCTCCTAAGTACCTGGGATTACTGGTGCTAACCTGAGTAATATTTGTATTTGTAATAGAGATGGGGTTTCAGCATGATGGCCAGGCTGGTCTCAAACTCCTGACTTTAAGTGCTCCACATGCCTCGGCCTCTCAAATTGCTGGGATTATGAGCATGAACCCCTCCTGGCCTGTTTTCTTGTATTATAAATTATTGGAAGTAAATGCAAAGATGATAAAGAGGCCAACTTTGTGCATTTCTTAAATTTATTTTAAACTAAGGAAATTAAATATAAATTTGAAGTTACTGTTAGAATCTAATGCTAAATCTCTTTAATTATTTAAAATTGGAGCCAGATGACCAAGATGCTCCAGATGAGCATGAGTCCTCTCCACCAGAAGATGCCTCGTTATATCCTCATTCACCTGGTTCTCAGTATCAAAAGTTAAAAAGGATTTTTTATTTTTACCCCCCAAACTCATTTTGATGCTTACTTAAAAGGTCTTCAGTTATTATTTTTTAAAACATTTTGAAAGTCCAGCCTTTCTATGTGCCTGGCTACTATTTAAAACTAGATAAACTGTTCCAAACCAACATGGATTTGAGACTTACCCACTGTCACTGTAAAGTAATAACGAAATTGTCTAGAACAGCTTCGGCAAGATAATCAATAGAGGATTGGTTGGAGTGAGGTCATATTTCATTTTACTGCTGTGGTGTTTTCTTTATCATCAGGTACTACCCCCTTGTCCTGTTTGCTGTGGTTAATCAAATTATGTAGTATTTCAGTAATTGTTGAAGAAACGTTAAAGCATCAAGTATCTGGGTGGGTACTTACCCTCAAGATGCAGTAGCAGTAAAATTTCTGTTTGGCTTTAATAGAACTGAAAAACTATAACTGAGGAAAAATGTAAATAAACTGTGAGAACTTCATTTTTAAAATAAGCATTTTTGGGAAAAAAAATTCTGGGAAGATTAGTCACAAATGTGAGTAATGCAGTCATTTTAAGGCAGTGATTCTTAAATTTAATGTGCATCATAATCATGCAAATGCACTAAGGATAGCAGTTGCAGGGGAAAATTGTCACTCTATAGAGCTTTTGTGGGACTCAAGAATTGGCATTTCTTTCAGGATTCCAAGTATTCCTGGTCTGGAGAAAGCATGAAAAAGGTTTCTGCTTAGCACAATAATTGGCAAAACTTTGTTTTGTTTTGTTTTGAGATAAAGTCTCTATTGCTCAAGAGCAGTTGCATGATCTCCGCTCACCGTAACCTCCACCCCCCAGGTTCAGGCAATTCTCCTGCCTCAGCCTCCCAATTAATTGGGACTATAGGCACATGGCCACCACATCCAGCTAATTTTTGTGGTTTTGGAAGATATGAGGTTTCACCGTATTGGCCAGGATTTCTTGACCTGTAATCCATCCACTTTGGCATCCCAAAGTGCTGGGATTACAGGTGTGTGCCACCAGGCCCAGCCAAGACTCTTAAATACATTGTCTGTGGAGGTAAAATGATTTTTTTATCTGAAACGGACCCATTTTATGTGTGTGCATTTTCCCAAAACACTTTATGTGGTACTTTTTTCTTAAAATATAAATATCAGATTATAGGTTTTTTCTTTTTTAAAGATAAGTTCTTGGTTTTAAATTTTCTAGTTTTTAACCAACCTAAGCCCATAGTTTTACATTTTAATTGTTAATATCTGAAAAGTATGATATGCTGGTCTCTTTCACCCTCTTAGAATAATCATGTGCATGGACAGCCATAAGCAGGACCAGCAGCACGTAACTTGAACAGCCCTCAGAAAACTGGCCAACAAACACAAGTAAATTACAAAGGCAATGAAGAAATATCCTCACCTCAGATGAAGGATCAGTGAAAAGCACATAATTAACTGTTTCCATTATGACAATGCAGTAAGGCATTACCATCCAAGCTTTCTCTGTGCCTGGCTGGTATTGAAAACTAGATAAACTATTTTAAAGCAATGTGGAGTGGAGAGCATATTCAGTGTCTCATTTATAATAATTTGCAGTTTGTCAGTGTATAAGCCATAGGCAGGGGAAGTGTACAGTGTTTTGTAATAAATGACTGATCCTAATCTGTAAATGACAAAAGTGTATATATTATGTTAATTTTTGACTGTTACTTCTTAAGCAAGAAACTTCTTTTGATAAAAACAAGTCAGATCTATACAATCACACAATTTTTTTTGTTAATGTTCACTGCATTGTGCAATTGATATTGCCTGCTTTGTGCAATCTGACCAACTCCTTCACCGCCTTTACCCCCATAAAAGGTAACATAAAAAAGAGCCCATCTTTCTCAGTTTACACCAGTAGTTTCTTGTTAATCTTTTTTCCTGGATCTTTAAGGTTGGTGGTTAACTTTTGAATTATGTGGTTGATGTGGAAAATCGGCAATGTGATGTTTCTAGACGTTTTTGTTACCTTTTTATTCTGGTATAGAGGTTAACCACTTTAGTTATTCTTACATTGTAACAATTAGCATGGCTTCACACTATTTGTGTAGCCAAGAGGACAGAATTGCTAGCCAAGAGGACAGAATTACTAAATGACAGCAGTTGCCCAGAGGGACAGTTGTATTGCTCAAAGATTTTATTTCTTATACCTAGAATAAATATAAAATGGGGGAAAATGTGACAAGCAATTTTCATTGCATACATGTTCTTCACATTTTATGTTTGATAGTTCAATTTCATTATTAGATAAAGAATATCAAAGTATATCTAATAGGAATTTTAAAATATTAAAACCAGTATGCAAAATTTTTCTGTGTCGGAATATGTAAAGCATAATAGACTGTATTTGTTGCACTTGGTTTTTGTTGTTGTTGTTGTTGTTGTTGAATTTATTAACTGGAGCTTCTAAAAGTTTGCTTGTTTTAATCAAGTGAAGTGTACTTCATCAGAATCAACAGTACTTTGAAATACCATTGCACCAAGATGCCTGACTGAATTACTAGTCAGTCACAATTTTACTTGAAAGCAAGAATTGTCCTAGTAGTTTTTTTTTTCTGTTACTCTAAAACCCTTGTTGTTAAATATAAGGTTTAATTAAAATATAAGCTCCTGCTTATGTTAATGTAATTCTAAGGTACCATTTTGGAATAACATTTGTTGTAAGATTACAAGAAACCCATGAGTTAATGCCGTATTTAAAAAGAGAATTGGTAAATTTTGAATGTGTGTAACATTTTGGAACCTGTTTAAAAACCACATATCCCTGCAAATAGATCCAGCCTGTCCTTCCTATACTATTTAAATATTTTGCTGTTTTGATTAATAGAAATTATTTTGCTGAATTCACAAATAGAATTCTGATTTAAGAAGAATTTTGTCCTGTGGTGTGTTTTTGTTTCTTGTTTATCTCTTGCGGTATTCTTAAGGACTACATATTTAAATCATCATTTTTGCGCTTTTGGCACATATTTGCATAGTTGATGCTTGTTATTGATAGTAGTAGATGTTTTATAAAGTCCCTATGAATACCAAATTAGCAAACATTGAACTTTTTATACCATGAATATTTGAAATCCTCAGTTTCTCAAACTACCACTCTGCAACCTATGTAGTATGTTCATTTGATATAATCTCTTTACCCAGTGTTAGACACAATAGACCCTTAAAGGTGTCACTTAGTATAAAGAAATGCAATTCATTTGGTTGTAGTATATTATTATTTTCTTACAGTAATTTAAGCATTAGCATCGACCATTGTGAATGTAGTATTCAGGACCCATTAATACTCTGTCAGGGCTAGGGATGTTGGTTCATTGTAAGCAGCTATGTTAAGGGCTTTTGTATTCGGACCATAGTTATTTGCACTCTATATCTCTTTTCCGGCCTAGAAATAGATCTTGGGATTTTGTTCCTCACAGAGTACAAGAGGAATATGTCTAGATTGACCCCATTTGCATTATTGCTACACCTCCATAAGGTGACCACCTCAAATGAATTCACCAGGCTGTCTACTTGCTGATTCTAGTCACCCCTATTGTCCTGGAGAGAGTTCTTTGGATGGATGTCAACATACCCTTCTTTAATGTACTCTTTAAATCCCATGTTGTATTTTTCCAGAAGGCTGTGTCACATATTGTCATCTTAATAGTTCAGTTTTCTATTGTCCTGGTGGCCAAGTCATTGGTCACTAATAATGAATTAGTAAGAATTCAAACAAATGCATTTTTAAAAAACTAATTGTTAACTTTTGAACACAAGAAAACAGCCTGTAGTTCAATTATTGAACTAATTTATTCATTCAGTCTTCAACTGGTCTTCATTTCTAGTCTCTATGAAAGCCTGCCAGCAGGATATTGTTCACCCACCTTTAAACTGCCATCCATAAACCAAGCAGTAGGGATGCTACTGGTCAGTAGGGAGCTATCAAAAGAGCACTGCCCATAAGACTGGATGATGCAGAAGTTCCTGACATGGTTCCAAACTTGATCCTAAGGAACATGTTTCTCTATAAACTTATTTTCCGTGTTATATTGGAACCCTTCTGAGCACTTACTAGAATGTTTTCTTAATTCATGCAGTACATTCCAGGTGTTTCAGGTTTTAGTACTAGTTTATGTTCTTCAGTCTCAGAAGTAGGCAAGGCAAGACAAGGTAGTAATTAGCTTGTCAAGGCAAGCTACACCAAGGCAGGACAAACTAGTAATTATCTCTGAAATGGCATATAATATATCATGTCATCCAGGAGTTTCCTAGTGTAAAATTCCCAGCTATTTCTGCAGAGTGGCGTGTGCAGGGCTTTTGCCATAGCTTCAGTCTGCCTAAGAGCATGCAAACACCTCCAAATTTGCAGTGTGGATCATAAGGTTTCAAAGTATTGAGAGAGAGAGAACACTTTGCAATTCAGACATGGCCTCCCTTAGTGCAATTTCTAATTTAAATAGACCTCTCTCTCTTTTTTAAATTGATAGATTAATTTATAAATATGTGTAATTGCACATATTTACAAGGTAGATATATTTTGATAGATGCACACAATGAGTAATAACCAAATTATTAACTGGTCTGTTAGTCACCTCATACATGCATCATATATTTGTGTTGAGACCATTCCAAATCTATTCTAGTAATTTTGATATATAAGATAAATTATTCATATTATAGTCTCCCTCCTATACTATCAAACATTAGAATCTATTTCTTCCAACAGTATTTGGACCCATTAACTAATTCATCTCTTGCCTTGCCTAGTGTTCTTTCCAGCCTGTGGTAATCGTTCTATTGTCTACCTTCATGAGATCAACTTTCTTATTTCCCTTATATGAATGAAAACATGCAAAACTCGGTCTTTATATTTCCTAGACTTTTTTCATTTAGCATAATGTCCCTTAAATGAAACCTTTTCGGTAGTGTTCTGGAAAGGAGCTAGAAATATTTTCAGATGTGTAATATGAATCCCCAAAATCCTACTCAACCAAATGCTGGGATTCTTGTTTACTCAGGAGTAGGTAATGACAGAAATTTATTCTAGGTCATCTATGAAATGTCACCATGTCTCTTCCCATGTTTTTGTAAAAATTTCACCATTTGGGTGCATCTCTGGATCTTAGCTGGATTTATGGTCTCTCATTGTTGGTCATTTGAATCAATACATGTAAAGTCTGTGTTAGGTTCCTCTTCAGTTTTAGATGTTCACATGTCATCTTCAGTATGATGTAGTATTGCATTCAAGCACAAATCGTGCATAAGCAAGTTATGTTAGTAACCTATGGTAATATATTAATAGTAAATGTAAATTGGGGTCTTTTCCCTATGTACTTTACTCTTCTAACATTGAGACAAATAAAAACATATTTGCAAGTTTAATGAATATCCTATAGTGTCTTTTTTATACTGTGGAAAGGAATGTCAAACACTATTGACGGTATATGCAGCACGACTTTATTCTAGATTTCTTCCCGTGAACCATCTCTTTTTCTTCTAGGTCACAAAAAGAATCCAGATAATTCGTCAGTACTAACTCTTTGGTTTCTAGGTAAAGTGTTTTTTGTTTTGGGGTTTTGTTGTTGCTATCCACAAAGAAACCTACGCTGTTTCAGTAGTCTTTCTCATCATTGGTAGTTCTAGTTGTTCCAATTTAATGTATTCAATAAAGATTGGTCTGATGGAAAACTGCATGCCTTCTATTTTAGTGTAAGAAGTAGCATAGCCTGGGTGCAGTGGCTTATTCCTGTAATCCCAGCACTTTGGGGGACTAAAGCAGGTGAATTGCTTGAGCCCAGAAGTTGGAGACCAGTATGGAAAACTTGAGAAACACCCATTTCTACAAAAAAAACAAGTAGGTAGGTATCCAGTGCCTGTCATCTCAGTTACATGGGAGCCAGAAGTGAGACAATCACCTGAACCCAGGAGGTAAAGACTGCAGTGATCCATGATCACAGCAGTGCTGTGTAGCCTGGATAACAGAGCTAGACTGCAGAAAAGTTGATCTCAAACTCCAGACCTTAGGCGATCCACCTTGACCTCCCAAAGTGATGGAATTACAGGTGTGAGCCACCGTGCCCAGCCCTTTGCCCACCTTTTAATGGGATTTTTTGGGTTTTGTTTGTTGCGTTTTTGTTTTTTTAAGTGTTTAATTGTTTGAGTTCTTTGTACAGTCTGGATATTAGTGCTGTCAGGTGAATATATCTTACCTATAGAACTTTAATCCATTTGACTTTTGTATATGGTGAGAGACAGGACTTGTTTTATTCTTCTTCATGTAGCTTGCTATTCAATTTCCCTACTCAATTTATTAAAGAGATTGTTATTTCCCCACTGTATGCTATTGTCAGCTTTTTTTGAAAATCAGCTGTTAATCAGTTAGCTGACATTATTTCTGGATTCTCTATTCTGTTTCATTGGTCTATGTTTCTATTTGTATACCAATACTATGCTGATTTGGTTACGATAGACTTCTAGTAGATCCAGTCAGGTAATATGCTGCCTGTAGCTTTGTTCTGTTTGCTGAGAATTGCTTTGGCTATTCACACTCCTTTTTGGTTTTATATGAATTTTGTTTTATTTTTACTAATTCTGGAAGAATGACAACGGTGTTTTGATAGGGATTGCACTGAATTTGTAGATTGCTTTGGGCAGTATGGTCACTTCAAAACATTAGTTCTCATTCATGAGCCTGCAGTGTTTTTCTGTTTGTTCATGTCATCTTTAATTTCTTTCATTAGTATGTTATATTTTAGAGATTATTCCACCTCTTCGTTTAAATTTTCTTTTCTTATAGCTAATGTAATTAACTTGTCATTTGTTACTCAGCTAGCTCTATATACCAATTCTATATAATATAGAAACATTTCTTTTTTTTTTTTTTGAGATGGAATCTTGGTCTGTCGCCAGGCTGGAGTGCAGTGGCATGATCTAGGTTCACTACAACCTCTGCCTCCAGCATTGAAGTGATTCCCCTGCCTCAGCCTTCCAAGTAGCTGGAACTACAGGTGTGTGCCATCACACCTAGCTAATTTTTTGTATTTTGATAAAGAGGGGTTTTCACCATCGTGGCCAGGATGGTCTCAATCTCCTGGACTTGTGATCTGCTCTCCTTGGCCTCCCAAAGTGCTGGGATTACAGGCATGAGCCACTGCGCCCTGGCCTGATTTTTATATTTTGAACTTGCATCCAGTACTTTAGTGAATTCTTCATTTTATTGATTTCATTTACAAATCGAAGTTTTTTTGGTGAAGTCTTTATGGTGCTTTTATATTTGTTTATTTGTTTGTTTGTTTTTTATAGAAACAGTGTTTCCTTATGTTACCTAGGCTGTCTAGTCTCACACTAGGTTCAATCAGTTCTCCCGCCTTGGCCTCCCAAAGTTCTGAGATGAGAGGCATGAGCCTGCCTGTTTAGGTGTCTCTAAACATAAGTCATGTTATTTGTACGGACGGCCGATTTGACATCCTGTTATCCAATCTGGATGCCTTTATTTTGTCTCTTGCATGATTGGCTCTGGCTCAGTATCCTTGTACTATGATGAATAGTAGTGGTAAGAGTGGGCATGCTTGTCTTACTCCAGCTCTTACAGGAAGATTTGTCAGCTTCCCCCACTTATTAATCAGCTGTAGATCAGTTGAATATGGCCTTTGTTATGTTGACAAATGTTCCTTCTATGACTAGTTTGTTGAGTGTTTTAACATGAAGAGATATTAAATTATATAAAATGCTTAATCTATGTCTGTTAACATAAGATTTTATATTTTAAAAATACACTTAGACTTGTTCTCTAACAGTAAGAAACTTTCTTATTTCATAGGGAAGATAACAACTTAAGGCCAGTTATGGTAGCTCATGCCTGTATGGGAGGCCAAGGTGGGCAGATCTTGAGTCAAC